GAAGAATCTAAAACATTTCAAAATTCTACAGATTTCATATCTACACAAGGCATTTCAGGAAGTAGCTCTCCACAATTTCCTGTCCTTTGTAGCCTTTAATAAATGCTGTATTTTATTTATCTCTCCTCAACCTTGATCCGCTATCCATTTGCTCAAGCTCATTCTTCTTCTTCTATGTGCCTTGTCTCTTGAGGACGTTGGCGATCATGGCTCTCCACAATTTTCTGTTCTTGTTTTCGTCTCACCTTCTTGCCTTCAATCTGTGATGTGAGTATCAAATTTTCCAATCCCTTTTCCTCATAATGTGCCCAAGAAATTTAAACTGTCTCTTCCTGATGTTTATTATAAGTTTCCTTTTTATTTCCATTTCTCAAAAAATTCGTCGTTGCTCACATATCCAGTATATGGTATTCTCATCATGCTTCTGTAGAACTACATTTCTGTTGCTTCAAATCTTTTCTTTATCTTCGCTGAGATTGCTCAGCATTAACTGCCATATAGGAGGACAGATATCACATAATAGTTCAGTACTCTTTTTTGTTTCTAACGAAATTTTTATGTTTCTTAATACTTTGCTTAGATTTTGGAAGGCATATTTGGCTATATGTTGTGGCCTGTTTAAGGGCCAGAAAGAAAGACACGGATGACGACGGTCGGTTGAAAAAGTATATTGAAGATATATACAAAACAATAGTGTTAGTAATAAGTAGATAAGCACTGCGTCTACTACTCCACTCCACTTCACACTCTGCGCTCCCGTCCGACTCTCGCAATTTGTATTTATGAGAGAAGGAAGAGTTCATTATACTGTAAGAGGGTTTACCACAACAGTATCCCAATGCGCCATCTTAAATTGTTTATTGAAATAAACGTCATCATTAATAAATTTTGAAATAAAAATGTTATATTTATAATTTCATCTAGAATAAGAAAACGAAAGTTCAAAATAATTAAAGTAGATTGATAATTATTCATCTAAGTAATGAAACAGGAAATTAACAAATAGTTGAACGAACACGCCATGGTAAATAAATGTATAAACTATTTGACATTGAATATCAAGAATCCCGAATACGGTGGCGTAGTGGTTATCAGTTTTGGTTAAATCATATGTTACTGTCGTCTAGTAGTTATGAGTTCGGTCACTGGATCAGGTTTTGTAACACTGGTTCATCAGAAACGGAACAATCACTTGACATTAGAAGCACATAATTAACACTTGCCCCATTAATGGACGCCCGATGATGGAAGAGGCTACTTGGTCAAAACGTTGTGTCTATAATAACATTTTTAAAAATAAAAAATATACACCATTCAGCAAATTAATTGAAACAAAACGAATAATTCTGTTATTACTTTTTTTCGTCTTTTTCCAATGAAACATGATCTAGTGCACATGTTAGTACTTCGTATGTCTATTCCAAGAAATCATTTCTTGCAGATTGGCCCTAAATTCTCGATTGGATTTAAATCAGAAGAATTTCCGGGCTAGTCTAGTACTATGATTTGCTCACTGGTAAGTCTTACCAGTGTGTTCGTGCAGCGTTACAAAATTTCGTACGTTTGCTTGGAGTAACATCAGACAATGACTGTAGGACAACTAATCGACAGTCGGGACAATAGTGTCTGGGCGTGATAAAAATCTGGTGCAATCATGGATGACGCAATATTTTTCAAGGTCAAGCAAATTTCATCACATTTCGTTTTATATTACTGCACACCAGTACAAATGATATAATCTGAGGAAAAAATAGAAATCGATTGTCAATCCAGTGGGTCTAAAACTGAGCATATGGTGAAAAAAAAGGAAACTAAAGCGGTTGTTTTAATTAATTTGCACAAGGATGTAATATAGATAATGTTAATGTTAGCCGCTTCCTTATCAGGAAACTTTCGGCATTCATTGAAATTAATGAAACATTTTTTCAGGAAAAATAGTTTTCTGACGTCCACTAGATTTTATTGCTCTTTCTAGTACTATTGTGGTCCTTTCTAGGCGTTTTTTTTAAATAGTATGGAAAGTTAACATCTTATGTGATTATTTTTTCTTTGAGTTACATATACTAACCATTTTGATTGTTGCTAGTGTTGAAAGTCATCAAATGATGATGCTTCTGTTATTTCGTAAAGACTTTAACTGTGATTCTGTACTACCAGGAGAATGGACTTCACTAAGGCCTATGGGTTACAGTAGTTCGAATATCTTCTTTACAGTTAAGAAAAACAGATGTGGCCATTGAAAATCATGTCAGAATTATTTATATTTTCGAAATTGTTTAATAGTATATTTTTCGGAGTGAAGGGCAACACAGGATGACCTTGCAAGCAAATCAATAAATATCAGATGTTCACACATCAGCGTCAGTTTTCTAAAAAAGACAAAAAAAAAATCCCACATATCATTCCCCCAAATCCAATAACCATGAAACTAACCTTTCATACGATCGCGTGATTTTTTACCCAGAGGCAATAACCAATCAGATAATTTTCAGGCCTCTTGGCTATTTTTAAATGTCTTGAGCGGGAAAGTTATTGGCCGATAAATCCTTATCCATTTTTATAAAGTATTAATTTCATTTCTCCTCAACACAGCTAATATTTTTTTTTCTTTTCGACAGTGCGTGATATATTTTCCGTTCACATTTCTAGAATCTCGTGTTTTTTTCTTTATGCATACATACGTGAGACAGTGTCTCTAAAGATATTTCTTTTATTTAGCTCTATATGTAAGAAAGAAAACACGCGACCTCAGAAAATAAAGGTTACCTTTCAATAAAATTCTGAATTTTCTAAATTTAACTTGGTATATCAAAAGAGTTAATTCTAGCTGAATAACATGCTGTAAATCGTGTTATTCTGACATGAAAATAAAAAACTATATAAATTTCATCTGGGTTGAAACACCATAGTGCGAAATGAATAGGAGACGGAGAAAAGAAACTACAGCAAAGCATAGAGAGTATAGTAAAGGAAGGCAAGAAGAAAGGACTAACCATAAGACAGAATATATGGTTGTCAACAATCGGAAGTGCCATAGATGGGAATTACGAATTGTAGACATGGAAATCAAGCAAGTAGAAAAATTTAGATATCTCGGGATTGTTTCACAGAGGACGACGATGCGGCACCAAAATCCAAATTTCTATTACGATAGAGAAAGATGCCTTCCGAAAGCTAAGCAAAGAATTAAGAAAGAGGAAAATGTTGTCAGAAACAAAGGAAAAGTACTAAATGACAGACCTTCTTCTTTATCTGCCATGTTCCCTTAGAATGAAGGCGATGATCACTCTCCGCGACTTCCCTGTCCTTGTAACTCTTAGTAAGCGTTGTTTTCTCTTAAGTCCTGTTCCGTTATCAATTTACACAAGCTTACTAAGTATGTCATGCCTATTTTTTCTCTGATCTTCTTTCCTTTTATCTGTTCCGTTAATAGCAGATTTTCCAAGCCTTCCTTTGTCATTATGTGAGCAAGAAATTTCAACTGCCTATTCCTGATGTTAAGTATTAGTTTTTTTTTGTTTCCATTTTTTTCCAATGCTTCGTCGTTGCACACATTTTCCGTCAAGGATGTCCTCAGCATCTTTCTGTAGAACCAGATTCCTGTTGTTTCAAGTCTCTTCTTCATTGTAGCCTGAGAAATCCAAGGTGAGCCGAGGCTAATAAACGTTTCCACTTTGCCTCATCAACTTTACCTTTGTTTCAGATTTTATTATACAGCCTAAAAACAACTTCACCACACGCACACACACACACACACACATATATATATATATATATATATATATATATATATATAGAGAGAGAGAGAGAGAGAGAGAGAGAGAGAGAAATATATAATAAGTTTGCAAGAATTAATGTTGTTAACATTTTTGTTAAATTAACTTTAATGATACTTATATCATTTCCCATATATTTTTTAAAAACTACATATATTTTGGAAGTAAATTCTGATGATCCGCAGTTCTTTTAAAAGGGCTGTGGTGAAATAATTTATTCCATGGAACCTAAAAGTGGTCTGTTTTAATTTAAATTATTTGCTCTGGATTTACATTGAGCTCTCTGGATTTTATCGTCCTTAGGTTTACCCATACGGATTACCTAGTTTTTCATAAACTAACCATATATATATATATATATATATATATATATATATAGTTATTTCTGTTGTATGGATATGCGTTTTTGATCCTTGTTTTCACAAAAGAGTGAAACCAAGAGTCACAAACTCATATCCATACAATAGAATATGTTAGCTCTGTCATTGAGCGCTTTCCACTAAGTACTGCACATACAAAAGCATATATATATATATATATATATATATATATATATATATATATATATATATATATATATATATATATATATATATATATATATATATATATATATATATGGTCATTCGTATTCGACGGTAACCGTCTACTAGGGCGGCATGTTTTACAGAGCCCACCTGTGGTTTATACTGCAACTTTGCTGAGCAGACCTTACAGTTTTCGGCCACGATGACTTGTGACCGTCTACCCAATTTCATTCACGAAGTCAACACTAGGATCGACCCCTCCAGTCCGATAACACCAGGAAGTCTCCTTCCTGACAAATCGACAATGGTGAGATTCGAACCCATGGTCAGAATTCGAAACATCTAACCACTTGGTCACGTTCCCATATCAGGTATAGAGCGTATGTAAATATACAAGGAGACACTGATGTCAACACCCAGATATTCTCACTTTAGACTTTACTATATGTAAGTAGAAGGTCCATTTATTTCATTAAACAGTATATTTATTCATTTTATGCCGGAGACCACATATTTGTCTTCAAATAATGGATATCCACCAAAATTAACCATTAAAGTCATAAAATTCTTTACATATATATATATATATATATATATATATATATATATATATATATATATATATATATATATATATGTGGAGGTGAATGTATGGGCGTATGAAAAGAATTGAAACACGTCATTATGTTTCCTGGTATCAGTGCAACGAGAAATACTGGTGTCTCTCCCAAGATGAACGAATAATGAACGGCATTTCTTTGAGTGGCGAACAGAAAGAAAACCTGGCCATTATAAATGAAGACTTTACAGTGCAATTGGCGACAACTAATCAGGGAAATAGAATTTAGGAACAAGAAAATAAAATGAAGTGAGAAAAATGATTATGGCGGCATTTTCCTTTTCCCGTCTAAGCGAAAGAATATATCTAATATATTCTGACATTTACAAATTATTAACCAATAGAAATAAGAATTCGAATTTGAAGCCATATATTAATCAACGGCTTTCAAAAACGTTATTAGTTTATAAATCAATTATATATATATATATATATATATATATATATATATATATATATATATATATATATATATATTTGAACAATAAAAATATTAAAAATGTAAAACCTTCAGAGACACTGGGTTGTATATTAATATTCTTTCGTTTTTATTATTTCAGTTAAATTCCTTGACTAGTTTCGGCCAACATGGCCATCATCAGGAGAAAAATAATTTTCTGCTTGCTGGTAGCAGTGAACTACAGAAATGAATGTCTTGATGGAGAAAATGAACTTTTGTCTGTAGCTTTCAATTTTATTATTGGTTCCAGGAAAGGGGATGTGTCTCTGTTAAGTGTGTGCATTATATGTTTCTTAAGGAGTGAGTGAGTATGATGTGTGTAAATGTGTATATTACTGTAGGTATGTGTTATCACTTGGCTCATTAGGGAGTGAGTGAGTATGATGTGTGTAAGTGTGTATATTCGTGTGGGTGTGTGTATAAGTGTGAGGCCTCAACACCTCCGTAAGTATGTCTGTCTTGTGCAGGTGAGAAATGTGGGTAGGTCCTGATTTGTGGGGTTATATATTAATAATATCTATATTGTTAAATTTGTGATTAAGCCCGTCTGGGTGGTGCGTTTTTAAACATCGGATCCATTTATTTTCATGGCACTCTATAATCTTTCGAATGTTTTCTGCTCCGAACTTTTTATTATATATATATATATATATATATATATATATATATATAATCAGACATGTTTAAATGAAAATATGAATATATATATCATTTAATAAGACATGTTTATATGAAAATATATGCTAATATGTATATATATATATATACAGATATACTATATATATATATATATATATATATATATATATATATATATATATATATTGTATATATATATATATATATATGTGCAATATATATATATATATGTATATATATATATATACAAATATATGCAATATATATATATACATGTATATGTGTGTATATATATGTATATATGTATATGTGTGTGTGTATATATATATATATATTAAGAAATGGACAAAGTCCGACTATTTATTTTATTAAAGTCATTTTTATGTTTAACGTTCTTTTTTATAGATACAAGTATTTAAGTAAATGCTCTGTTTATAATAAACAGTATTAAATAACATTTACCGGCCTGAATGTGCGAGAAATTTTCATACAAAATATTCGTCCTTTGACAGGATTCGAACCTGCATCCTATACGGAACCGTCATTTACGCTGACGTGCCTTAACGATCGGCCACAAAGGAGCGTTCGGTAGGCAAGTTGAAGTTTATAAGCATAAATTTCTGCCGTATTAGTTCTTATTTTTACTACAAGCTTTCGTCTGTTCCTACAGACATCTTCAGGTATAGAATAGATGTTGTTCTTGTTTTTTCTCTTAGTAAAAATAAGAACTAATACGGCAGAAATTTATGGAAACAAGGATCAATTCATTCATAACGGATTCGGAGGTTTTTGTATATTATTTGAATTGTTTGCGATGATGGATTTCTCGCCAATTAAATCATTAACCTTTGCTTTTGTTTTTGTGTGAATAATTCATGAATTTGTAAATTGATTGCACGTTTATCGTAATATATATATATATATATATATATATATATATATATATATATATATATATATATGCGTGTGTGTGTGTGTGTTGGTGATAAGGAAATATTGAGAAAAACGTCGGTTATTATTTTACTTCGAGAGAACGCTGATGATGTAAGTGTCGCTTTAAATCTAAATTTCAAACTTCTCTATGTGTCTCCCCTTAAAGTCTAACAGAGTTTCTTTAGTTTAGCAAACAGTCCGATATTCAAAACATGAAAAAAATATGACTGCACCAATTCGGCTCTGTAGACCAGCTTTATTGGGCCAGGTTGGAACTGGTAGATGCACAAAAATTGATTTCATTAATGGAGGAAAGGGACGGAGATTCGGTTTCTTTCAGAAGCACATTTGAGGCCGGTTGCTGTTTGCTTCACTATTTACTCAAATAAAAAAGAGAGATGGCAACACAAACACGAGTACTCATTAAAAATGACGTTTATAGTAATAAGAAATAGTGCCGGATAAAACTTCTTTCAAAAATAGATAGATAGATAGATAGATAGATAGATAGATAGATAGATAGATAGATAGAAACAGACTGAGATAGATATATATGAACAGACTGAGATAGATAGATAGATAGATAGATAGATAGATAGATAGATAGATAGATAGATAGATAGGAACAGATTGAGATAGATAGATAGATAGATAGAAACAGACTGAGATAGATATATATGAACAGATTGAGATAGATAGATAGATAGATAGATAGATAGATAGATAGATAGATATATATGAACAGACTGAGATAGATATATATGAACAGACTGAGATAGATAGATAGATAGATAGATAGATAGATAGATAGATAGATAGAAACAGACTGAGATAGATAGATAGATAGATAGATAGATAGATAGAAACAGACTGAGATAGATATATATGAACAGATTGAGATAGATAGATAGATAGATAGATAGATAGATAGATAGGAACAGACTGAGATAGATAGATATGAACAGACTGAGATAGATAGATAGATAGATAGATAGAAACAGACTGAGATAGATAGATAGATAGCTAGATAGATAGATAGATAGATAGATAGATAGATACAGACTGAGATAGATATATATGAACAGACTGAGATAGATAGATAGATAGATAGATAGATAGATAGATAGATAGATAGATAGGGAACAGACTGAGATAGATAGATAGATATGAACAGACTAAGATAGATAGATATAAATAGACTGAGATAGATAAATACATAGGGAACAGACTGAGATAGATAGATAGATAGATAGATAGATAGATAGATAGATAGATAGATAGATAGATAGATAGATGGATAGATAGATAGATAGATAGATAGATAGATAGATAGATAGATAGATAGATAGATAGATAGAACAGACTGTGAACAGATGACATAGATAGATAGATAGATAGATAGGATCAGACTGTGATAGATAGATAGATATACATTTGTTACTATTTGGCGCAGCTCAGAGTTTCATGCAAACTCAGTCGCACCAAACGGTAAGCTTGAAATGTATATTTATTCTTAGTATATATAGATATATATCATATATTTAATCATATTGTCATTTTCAATATATATTTCAGTACAGGTGAAAATTCCAAACACACACCCCCGTACACACACACACACATTTATTTATATATATATTTTATATTTATATATATATATATATATATATATATATATATATATATATATATATATATATATATATATATATGTATGTATATATAGCTCAGAGTTTCATTCAAATTAAATAAATGTATACACACAGAGAAATATATATATATATATATATATATATATATATATATATATATATATATTAGATGAAACTCTCAGTTGCCCAATTAATATTTCACTACTTTAATGCAACTAGCATCAATATTCTCGAAATAAAATATATTTTAAAAACCTCATTGCAAAATTGAAATGTTCTTTATTTTTTTCTATTCTGACGCCATAAGATCGTTGATTTATTAAATGAAAATGATTTGCAGTATAACGTGTTTATTAAACACTAAATTTATCGATGGACAGACGTGTGTCTGTCAACGTTTGAAAAACTATTTCCCCGTCTTCGCATAGTTTGGGAAAGTTCATTTTTTAAAAATGATGTTTGTATGTAAAACACGCGTCAATTTTGAGTTTACTCGCATTTGTACATAGACGCCGCTTACACTTTTTCCCATGAGTGCTTAAATATGTGCTGTCTAATGTATGTGTTTGTCGTAAGTATATGTTAGTACGCGTGTCATAATCGATTATCTCAGTAAAATTTCATGAGGAAATTTTCCTTACAGCGCTTTTCATACACCTTTTTAAAAATTTAACAAAACCATATTGATTTTGTGTTTCCTTAATGTTTATATGCATGTATTTGAAAGAGTTTATTTGTCCTTAGCTATACGCATTAGCGCGTCGTATGGTTTACGAAATTCTATACGAATAATTCACTAAAAATTTTGTTTTGTGTATATCTGCTGTGCACATTCAAATAGCGTAAGCGTTATTGGCATGGAAAGTGAAGCCGCAGTAGCGGGTTCAAATTTTGACTGAGTCATTCACTTAGCACTGCGTTCGGAAAAATACACAAACCCATTTTCCTCTAGACTAGTCTCTCTTTACATAGGGTTTGCCGCCAGTTCCCACAAGTATAACTCTTCATGTGACATCAAACTAAAGTGGGATTCGCACCCTCAGGTTATATTTCATTAGACACATCTTGCTTTCAGGCAGGGTACATATGGAGCTCTTTCTTAATGGCTTATAAGACTCAAGACCATGCAAAGCATTGGTTTTGATTTTCAGAACTTCCGTGAGAAAATTAGCAACTCCCCATATGAGTCATGACAGATGAACAAAAGACGAGACAATTGAACAGTTTAAAAAGTACATTATATAATGAGATTGAGAAAAGAGAATTGCTAAACCTATTCCTTTAGAAGTTAATATCGAGATATCGGGGACGTGGTCCAGATACATGTATCTGTTTGAAATTGATTGAAATACTTCTCTGATCATATTCTTCTCCCATAATGCTGCTTTTAAAAATATTATTCAGGTTTACTGGTGCCAGCATTGCCTGTTATTTGGAGTAGGACAAAACGGGTCCATTCACCTCGATGGTCTTCATGCCTCTCGATTTTAGCGCCTAAATTTGGGTCTTACTTATTATTCTCTGAGTTCCTTATCTATCCAGGGGAGATAAACTATATTTTTTCATACATCCTCGATTTCTGCATATGTTAATATATTATTGAGAAGTGTTATTGGTCTAATTATGGAAGATGCTGTCACATCAATGTTCTCCAGCTTTTGTTTCCCAAATTTGCGTTCTGTTACAACTGCAGTGTAAAGTAATTTCAAGATTGATAGAATTAAATAACATTTTCAGGCGTTTTGTTCAAGGTTTCGTCCATTTTATTTTTTTATTTATTTTATTTTATTTTATTTTATTTTTTTGTTAAAAAGAGACAATTTTTGTGTTTTTAGGTGGTTTTGCGCTAAACGCCATTAAAATCCAAAGCTGGATTACAGTAGATGTATTTGTAAAGGTAGATTCTGGTTGAAGGTACAACCAACTTAAACATTTGAAGACTTTGTATATTCTCAACACATTTAATGCTTTAAAATTCTTCAAATTTTCCCCACTTTTCAAAATGTCGTTGACTGTGAATTTCCCTGTTTCCCATGATCACAGGTGTTGGAATTTTCTTCGGCACTATAACGCAAATACTTATTTTCTGCTTAACAGATAACACTACCAATATGCAGAAAAACTCGTCTAGATTCTGTGATAAATATCCAATTAACCATGTGGTATCAGGTTGCACAGTATTAGTACCCAATGAATATAAGACTCACCTTGATAGATTGGGTCAATATCTGCACCGGAAAATATGCAACCTTTGGGGAAGGAAGCTGCAAGAAACTGATATGAACATCACCCAGACTCGGTTCCAGAAATAAGACCTGTAAAAGTTTTATGGTACTTTATAATACACACAGATAGAACAATCAAAGCTAATCGTCTGGACATCGTGATCAAAGAACACAAAAAACGGAAAGTACCGTCTCTGCAGGTTATAATGTATCTTTGGTTATTTTCAAAAAAACTATCAAAATACAAAAATCTTGGAATGGAAATGTCAAAGATGCGGCCCATGAGGTCATCATTAATTTAAATTGTATTTGGAGCTCTGGGATTGATTGGAAAAGATTCCAATAGACTGATTGAAAGGATTCCTGGTAGTCCATGCCTTAAAGAAATACAAAATATTGTACTCAGAAGTATAGCTCACTCATTACGAAGAGCTTTATCTAACGTGTGTGATCTAAGGTTTTTTTTTGGGGGGGGGTTCTAGCTTTTATAAAAAAGATAAAAATGATTAGTAGAAACTGTAATGAATCCATTTTTGACTTTAGGTCTCTGATTGGGACCCGGAAGAAAATGTGTATACAAAAAAAGAAAAGGAAATACAACAGAAATGTTAGGAAATAATAAAAATAATAATAATAAATTATTCATTTATTTTTATTTTTCTTCTTCTTATCATTATTATTATTATTATTATCATTATCATTATTGTTATATCTCGTACAAGATATAATAAACAAAGTAAACCCGAGTGTGGTTTTCAATAATAATTTTATAATCGGATGGAGGTATGTCAAAATACAGAGACAGAGTCGGGAGTATGCTAACCTCAATAGGTGTTAGTAAACGAAGACCTTCTTTTTGTCGCTATGCTTACTGTTTCCTGTGGTCGTACTTTATCGGCCACCAGACCGTCCATTATCGTGAATGGGGAAGTTGGGTTATCTCATCACAACAATTATTATTATTGTTGTTGTTGTTGTTGTTGTCTCTTTGTTCATATGGTTTTAGGTTATAATGAAGCCCGAAATGAAGAAGGCATTGAAACCTAATGACAATAATAATATAACGAAAGATAAGATAAAGAAAATCGGGATAAAGGATGGCAGTAGAGTCAAGAGAAGCTCCAATTACTACGTTGAAAATAGAAATACCCGCCTTTGTTATATGAATATTTAATGCAACCGACTAACTGAATAACCATCATATTTGTAACCAAAGAAATCATTTAACCAATACAGCATCGACAGGCAAATATTTTGTCGCGATCACTACCGTATTTGACGGCATATAAAGCATATTTTTTACTAAAAATATCAATTAAAGTTCCCCTACGTCTTATAAGCCATATGTTGTTATAAAATTGGTGATAATTGGCCGAAATTAGCTACCTGGCAACGCCTATTAGCTTAGATCTTAGAGTAACATTTTATTGTCATTATTTAAAAAGCTATTATGCAGATTAAAAGTGTTATCATTGATAATATTCATTATATTAATTTCATCCCGTTTAACATTAGTACTTTGTTTCACTAAAATTATATGAAATAAATTCAAATTATTTATTTATAAAATAAATTTGTTTTATTAATATTTTTTCTTGCAATCTGGTTGCATTGGTATAAATGAAATCAGAATTTTTATATCCTAATTATTCCACTAAGACGTTTACAAGACACACGTTGTACAAATCATATAATCGAAAATTTTTGACTGAATTTTAATGATAATTTAGTTTTGCTCAATTGTAATAATTGCTTGATTTTTATTTTGTCTTCTTATCTTTGTATATAATAAAGTTTCTATGAGCTGATGCTCTTTTTTTCCTATTTTCCGTTTAATTGCAATCATCATTTGTTTAACCAGAATAATACCTCATAAATATCGCCTAGGCTGTACCATTTGCTAATAATTTTACTAATTACTAATTTTTCTTGATTTGCCCTGCTGAAATTGGGGTGCGTCTTATACACATGTGCGTCTTATATGCTATCAAATACAGTAATTATACCAATCACTAATAGTACGCATAAATTTTGATAGAGGACTAATGTCAAAATCAACAAGAATTGTACATTTTGTTGGTTTCGATAGAAAACTTTGAATTGCATATGTTCTGACGTTTACGACTCCTGCAGACATATCATTATTTTTCAGCATGACAGCCTGCGGTTTAAATTGATCCAAACAAATTACAAACACAAAAGACAGGGTTATCAACGTGTCGGCCAGAAACCAATCCGCATATACCATCAAGTAAGAAGCGACAGCCAGGAAAACAGGCGATTTACAACTTAGTTCAATAGACAGGTAACTTCCTGGCCGCCGGTCCGACGTCAAACGATTCTAACTTCCTGGGCCAGGAAAGAAATCTCATGTTTATGTCATGTTCAACCATTGAAAAATCTTCCGATACGAATTTTTCTACTCCGACATGTCTGTTTTTACCGTAGGCTCATCTTTTTGGAGTTTTTTTTTGTTCATTATTGTATTGATTATAGATCTCTTGTTGTCCACAACTTTTTTCGGCATATTTCTGCTTCTTGATAGATGAGGTGTCTGTAAGTATGTAACCTGAGTCCTGCAGAATGTCTTGGGTTGAAATAAATCTGCAGAATTAAGATGGCTGAAACTAGTGAATATGTACAATCTGAAATGCATGCATATAATCGTTTATAATATCAAAAGTTAATAATATTATAACTTAAATTCATTATATGTTTAACGCTATCATTGTTAACCTTCACTGTTGCTAATGCATTCAATCCTCATTGGGTGCCAATTATTTGACATTGTTTGGTTTACGGCAATATATATTGAAACACCGGTTCTCGTACGATCACCGAAATTAAGCAATCTCGGCCCTGGTCAGTATCTAGCGGGGTGACCACTTGAGAATACCAGGTGTTGTAAGCTTGAATGTGCGGTTGGTGCAATAGATAACGGCTCAAAATTAGAAATCGGAGAGTTAAGTTCCAGTTCCAACTGGGTTCGTTATATTTACTTACGCGTAACTACATTGAGAAAGTTAAGAATCCACTACTTTTCCCCCAACTATGGGTTAATTATTAAGACTTGTATCAGTATACCATTATTATATATAAAACTTGTTAAAAACTAAAAATATATCCTAGCTTTAAATAAACTGCAAAAGGTTGATAAGACGTAAAAAAAAAAATAAATCAATCATTTTACTTTGTCTCAGCTAATTTTAAACCCAGGACAAATAAACTGTAGCAGGATGTGCGGGAAACAGTTTTGGACGGTGAAAGCAGAATTGATGAGCCGAGTTCAAATTCAGCGTTAGTCTCTTGGGTTTACTTTCACAGAAATGCTCTTTGGAAAGGAATTCCTATATCTCTTATCTATTTGTTAAATAGTAGAGTAGACTGCGCTCCCTAGCCTTGCAGTCAAATAGCTGCAAAAACTATATATATATATATATATATATATATATATATATATATATATATATATATATATAAAACAATAGAAAAACTGTAATATTAGCCGACGCGTTTTGTCCAATGTGAACATTTTAAAGACAAAAACGAAATGAATTTATTAAACAAATTAACTAATAATAGTACGTTAACACTGAGAAATTTTTCATACATATTATGACGAATGCAGATAGCCCAAACTCCGCTTGACAACAGAAGAGGTCACGTGGGAGTCTCGAGTCATTTTTGGAAAGCAAGTCAAGAGGTTGACTGACCCAATTACCCGTAGCAACAGACGTCTAGACAGAATCTAGACAGGGGACTGACGTAAGGTCAAGAAGCAGCAGGAACTGGAATTTGCGCCAAAATGCGGGACACGTGGGAATTAGAAAATTACTTGGAAGTCAGTTGCTGTCTTGTCTTTGAAGGAGCAAGACTCGTAATCGAAGCACTGATAACTTATGAACGGAAAGATGAGACTCATTTTGGTAATGATGGAACTTGTCTTATTCATCCCAAGCAAATCCGGATAAGAAATATAAGGATATGTATTTCTGTTCGTTAACTCCAAATTCAAGAAGATAAATCGAGTTATTTATCACAGAAGACGCAAGGAAATTTGTACGCTGAGAATACAGCCTGCGTTTGAAGAAAGAAAAGAGAAAAACAGGGAGAAGAAAGTATATATCTCTGTTGCAGCCGAACCGTGTTTGAAGCTGAACGGTGTAACGAAGAAGAAAGAAAGAAAAAGAGAAAACCAGAGAGAAGAAGAAAGTGTATATCTCTGTTGCAGCCGGACCGTGTATGAAACTGGATTTGTGTAAAGAAAAAGAAAGAAAAGAGGAAACGTGAGAGAGAAAAGAAAGGACAATGAGTAAAAGAGAGAACTGAATATAAAGATAAGTAACTGTTTTGGACCCGTGTTAGAAAGATACACATGCATCCATAAATATTATGTTCTTACAAACACCTTTCCACATGTCAAAATAATAATATGTAAATCCTATCCCATCTCTTTTGGTCATGCGTTGATTTCTGCATTCGTAGTTATTCATACTTATTTTTTTTATCCGTTCGGGTTCAGTCGAATTCACTTGGATTTATGCATATTTTGGTATCCCAACATAAGTCTTGAGGTTCTGATCGTCGGATGCTTTTCTCATACTTATATTTTTCTTTTATTTTAACATTTTGTGTATATGTACATATTAAAATTATTATACCAAACTTTATTACGCCTTATCGTTCATCCTTGAATTGTGGATCAGTATTTGTGTTGAAACCGAAGCGAACCTGGGAAAAGATTACTGTTTGATTATCTCAATCGAACAGTGTTCGTTAAAATATTTTTGTTTAATAATTGTCCATTTGTCATGGTCTGGGAGAAATAGCCCATATCTCTCCATAGATGTGATAATGTATGGTCGGCGTATGATCGCATTATAAATTATTCGTCGTATATATATATATATATATATATATATATATATATATATATATATATATATAGAGAGAGAGAGAGAGAGAGAGAGAGAGAGAGCTTAGAACGTTCGCTTTTAGACCACGATTTCTCAGGAAGGTGAATTCTTGATGTTATCTGTCTGGGGAGGCAATCCCAGCGTGAGATTTATTTTGGAAAATGCATGAAGATCTTACCCCGGGTTGGTATGAACCTTATGAGTGAAATTGGATCAGCATGAATTAACAAGTCATCGTGAACGAGTATACGAACCTTGTTCAGACCAGATAATTTGTCTCTCCCAGAAACTGGAACTAAGGTTCGCTCATCATAGTTGCAGCATTGAACAAACACAAATGTACCTGAGCAGGTGTCTGCAACAGGAGCCGGCGAGCCGCCAAAAACAGACATACTCAGATATATTTAATAGCGTCATCGGACACCATAGAATTGTACTAGTGTATTATAAAACAAAAACAATCTCTTTTAAATTTCGTGGAATAAAAGTAAATCACGCTACCAGATTATATTATTTATAGTGATTCTCTAAGCTAGGATTGTATGAGGTACAAGGCCGAAAGTATGGATCTCCCAATGAGGATCGGACTTCCTACGTAATCTTTATCGGTTTAAATGGATTTACTAAGCATAGTTTAGATATGACACAAGGCTTAAAGTATGGTGCACCCAGTGAGGATCAGATTCACTACCCAATAGTTATTGGTTTTAAAAGATTTACTATGTATTGATTAGATGTGGCACAAGGCCGAAAATATGTGGAACCCAATGAATATCTAATTCCCTACCTAATCGTTATTGGTTTAAAAGGATTTACTAAGCATAGCTTAGATCTGGCCCAAGGCAGAATGTATGGAGCAACCAGTGAAGATTAATACGTATATATCAAATATGAGTATATACAAAAGATATATACATATTCATATATGACCAGATAGATAGATATCAACGGTGTGATATATATATATATATATATATATATATATATATATATATATATATATATATATATATATGAACAGAGTGAGGGCTAAATAGAAAGTGATAGATAGATAGATAGATAGATAGATAGATAGATAGATATAGACTAAAGTAGATAGATCGAGTGAAAGAAAGAAATTATAGATAGATAGATAGATAGATAGATAGATAGATAGATATCAATAGATAGATCAAGTGAAAGATAGAAATTGGTTTCCCTGACTGTGAAAAAGGGACGGAGATTCGGTTTCTTTCGGAGGCACATTTGAGGCCGATAGCTGTTTGCTTCACTGTTTATGAGAGATGGCGACACAAACACGAGTATTCATTACAAATGACGTTTATAGTGTCCGATAAAAATTCTTTCAAAAATTAGATAGATAAATAGATAGATAGATAGATAGATAGATAGATAGATAGATATAAAAAGACTGAAATAAATAGATACATATATATATATATATAGATATCAATAGACTAAAGTACATAGATCGATTGAAAGAAAGTTAGGTATAATGATAGAATGACAACTGATTGAATTATTCGAGAAAAAAAGAAAAATAGTTCTAAATAAACTGTATTTTAAACTTTTTCTACTTTACCACCTAAAATGTCTAGACATAAAATAATGGTTGCCTCATCCCTCTTTCTGCCTGACATAAAATCGTCAACTCAACCCTGGTGCTATCCTATTTATTGTTTTTGTTATAAACTGACCTTCGCCGACATCTTTCTAATATTCCTTCGTCTACTCAGTTTTATTCGTGTATATTTAATGCAAACTCATAATTCCACATAGATTTTGTATTGAGGGAATCAGCAGATGATACTGGCGACATGATGATTCCATGTTTATTGTACCTGAGACGTGTTTCAAGTGAATAAATAAAAGTTTTATTTCCATTTCTCCGTCTGTGAGAGTTCATGTAAAGTGTGATCAATGAAAAACTAGTATCATTCCTACATCTAGGTGAGAAAATATCTTCGCGCCTTTTTATGTAACGTTTAATGATAGGCGGGAAACTGTACAAGCGCGTTTTTAGTTTCCTCATTAAGACCGGAGTGATATCGTTCGTGACAAAAGCTAACCAAATATATGCATGCTGTGGCTCCCTTTGAACGGTAATGTGGCCACAAAAATATCAGTCTTCGAAACACCCTCCAGCCTGTATGATGTCTAGTGCACAATCCGTCGAAATTGAGAATTTGCGCGTCAAAGTTTGGGAGTGTGCATAACGAGCTAGACATGTTTTTGTGCGAGACAATAGCACGTAAAATCCTCATCATTGATTCTACTCTCTCTCTCTCTCTCTCTCTCTCTCTCTCTCTTTCTCTCTTTCTTTCTCCCCTTCTCTTTCTTTCTTTCACATATTTTCTTTTCCCCCTTTATCATCATCATCATCATCTCTTTCCATATATATACAGATATATATATATACAGTGTAAGCAAATATATGGATATAGATCCGACAGTATGAAGAAAATATACTGAAAAAACAAACAAAAATCCTAATATGCGATTATGGTGTTTTAATGTTTAATGTTAACGTCGAACGTCGGACGTTTCGGTCTAATAGACCATCTTCAGGACATATTCATTAATTAATGTTAATTATGTTTTATGAATATGTCCTGAAGATGGTCTATTAGACCGAAAACGTCCGATGTTGACATTAAACATTAAAACAGCATAATCGCATATTAGGATTTTTGTTTGTTTTTCAGTCTATTTTTCTTCATATATATATATATATATATATATATATATATATATATATATATAATAGAAAAAGATAGAGTATATATATATATATATATATATATATATATATATATATATATATATATATATATAAGTGTATTTATAATAGGAAAGAACTGTTAGATTGATGATGATCCCTTTAGTTCTTTAGTATTTTGTTTTTATTTTTAAAAACGATGCTCGATACAGAAGTAGAGCCTAGATTATAATTATTTTTTAAAAAATGATTCCATCGTGACACAGAAATTACTGTTTCGAAACTGGTGAGCAGTATTCAGGTTTAATTTCAATATCAAACCTTAACTACCTGGTGGCAGCCTCATCCTCAAACAATGTTTGAAATAACTATACTACGGAATGTTTTATCCATTTAAAGTTTTGAAATGGCGGTGTGATCTAGGGTTTGTTTTGCGTCTTCAAGGTGTCACTGGTTTGATTTAAATAGGGGTCTTTTGTTAGATGTCAAGTTATTTGAAGTCGTGTATGGTTGAGTTGTTTGTTTTTTTTTTTTTTTTTTTGTCTGACTACAAAGACTAATCATATCCGACTCCCCGCTAAAACTCTAACTGATTGATGTAGTTCTGTTGTTTTTGTTGTTGTTGTTGCTTTTTTTATTACTGTATGCTAAAACTTTAACTGATTGATGTTGTAGCTCTTGTAGTTTTTGGCGTTTATCTATTAGTTTTTTGGGGTTTTTTTTTTGTTTTTTTTATGATTTCTTAAAAGGACTTTAGGATTATGATTGGGTTGTTTTTTCAAACCTATTGTTTTAATTGTACTTGTAAATAGATTTGGAAATTTTTATTATCAACATTATTTTTTTTCGTCCATTTATAAAATGCTAATTATTTAAGGCGAATATTTGGTGATGTCTTCAAAAAGCAGTTATCTCATTTCTTTGATTTAATAAATTTCCGTTTTTTAGAAACGTTATAATGTGTATTTTGCATGTAAGCATAAAGGTCATGGGTCATTCCAGGTTTTACAAATTCTTGTTCTATTTATCATTTTCCATTTCTTTTAGTGTTTTATTTGTTTCTTTTAAATGTCAAAAATATTTGGAGTTGTCTGATTTCTGTTTCTAATATTATTGAAGGAGCTTTTGTATTCTCCCGCTTATTTTAAATTAATTCTTTGTAGATCCTATATATATATATATATATATATATATATATATATATATATATATATATATATATATATATCTTTTAAATATTTGGATTCTCAATGGTGCATTGGTATACCACAGATTCTATGTGGCATCTATTATTCAGAGGGCAATTTTCATATATATATAATATTATAATATAATATAATATAATATAATATAAAAAGATTACTTAACTTTAATATCATTTATTTGTTGGTGCTTTCCCCAACTTCGATCTTTCTTGGTAATGACTATTCTTCAAGAGAATACATATATCTAGTGTGTGTTGGGCACTTCGAGGCGGTGTAATGGTTAGCAGGCTTGTCTCGCTTGAACAATTACGACTGAGTAATGATTTCGACCCTCACTGGATGCCCCCTACTTTTGGCCTTGTGCCACATCTCAGCTACGTTTGGAAAATCACTATATTTTGACATCTAGACGTGGTATAACGGTTAGCAAGCTTGCCTTGCTATAACAATTATGACCGAGTAGTGAGTTCGATCCTCACTGAGTGCCCCCTACTTTCGGTCACATCTAAGCTACGCTTCGAAAATCACTATATAAACGACGAATTAAGAATCTTCGAACACGGATTTACAAATTTTAATGATCTTTATTTATTTGTGTATTATTTTTCTTTCAAATTGAAATAATTGAATTACATCATCATCATCATCATCTTGTGGCCTCTTGATTGGTGTAGTTCATAATCTTGTCAAATAGCTGAATTCTTGATGCTTCGCTAGGGCTATCAAGGGTGTTTTTATCGTGACACCAACACTAAATGGATTGCCAACAAAGGTTCAGACTCCATTCACCCTCCTCTAAGTGCAGGTTTGAATTCAGAGTTTTCCTTCTCCTAGACCAGTTGCCATCCAAGGCTATAGAACCCAGTCTGCCCTGCTATTTACCCATAGCTGGAGGGAGGAGAAAGAGGATTCACACCTTTCCCAAGGGTGTTAGCACGTAAGTGAATGCAATGGATTCGACTGGAATTTGAACTCGGCTCTCCGATTCCTCAATCCAAGCCGCTATCCACCGTGCATCGTGATTGAATTACACAGATTCTTTTCCATATAAATTCACATAAATTTTATGTGTGTCTTTTTTTTTCAGTACAGCTGAATGGCTTGCGTTAGTATAGTATAAACGATAAATGTGTCTATGTGTGACCAGATGTATATGACAGGTCTACCTAATCTATGTGACATGAATTGTTGTATGAATTGCTGTAATTGTCGACTATATGAGCGAAAGGCAAGGAAAAGCTAAGTAGCAGAAGCGGAATGTTGTCTCTATCGCAAAACGTACTTTTTGTAAAGGTGTATACTCGAATAAATATGCAAAAAAATGTGAGTAATTTTGAGAATTTCAGTTTCGTTTGTGTGACAAATGATTGAACAAACACCCTGGTCAAGCGTTAACTGAAAGTCTAGTTAGCGGATAAGAATTAATCATATTTTAATAACACAGTAGGCTCCGATGAATCTAAAATTTAGATTTTTTAATCGCAAGCTAATATATTTTTGTAAATATTCCTTTTAAGGAAAACAAATATTTTTGAACATATTCTGAAGTTGAGTCTCCAAAACTTTCTTCTAAGATAATTTACCAATTCAAAGAATACAGCGCTTCTCGTACGACGTCGTAGGTTGGTTAATATATATGAATACAAGGACTCAACTATTCGGAGCCTCTCAGTGTACGAAAATTGAGTTAATTTGGACGTGGTGAGATTTCGGTACTTAAATCTATTCGCATTTTTCTAAAATTCTGAAACAGATCTCCACGTATACATAAGTAAAAGGTTTCTTACTTAGATGATTCATGTTAGCTGCAGATATCCTCACTCCTGAGTTTCGTAGGCGTCGTTCCGTTCACTCCTTAGGTGGTATCAACAATTGAATGCGAATACTTCTCGATTTTTCTTTTTTATATACACTTATCATTGCTGCACGTTTTTTTCGTAATGTGTGTGTGGGCGCATGTCTACGTATGCGCGCGTTCGCCCATGAACTCATCTGCGCGGTTGTGCGTACGTGTAGGGTGTCGTGATTATCTGTTCTTTTCTTCGTTCTTTTATTTATTTATTTCACTTTACACCCAGTCCTTAGCTTTTCCTCTTTTTTTTCGTTTATATATATATATATATATATATATATATATATATATATATATATATATATATATATATATATACTGGTTAATTTTTTTATTTAATTTTTCTGTGTTCTGGACGTAAATTATGTAGAAATTATCCGGATGTTCGGTAAGTCCGAAAGTTTACGTCTATACTCTTAGGCATTATTAGGGACGATTTTATATTTACTTTAAGTAATTCTATGGATTT